TGGTGAGACGTACATTATTCAAAATTTTATGGCTCTAGGCATCGTCGTCTTATCACAGTGTGAGAAACATACATACATTTATGCAGATTCTTTATTATTTATTATTTAATTCCTTTAAATATAATACAGGGCTCTAATATATGGTGACAAGAATTTAAAAAATGAATCACCGTTTATCATTTTTTGACTGGTCGTTGGCATTTTGTGACGTGAATCAACGCAAAATGCTAAAACGAAATTAATAGCTCTTCAGAGAAAATTGCCCCTTGGTCTAAAAAAAAAAAAAGATTGCATGAAGTGTTTTGCTTTTGATTTCTCGTTATACCATTTTAGTCCAAATTTTAAATCGCATTTTACGCAGTTCTAACAGACGCTGAGAAAAAACAGCTTGTTATCGTCTTTCAAAACATTCAGGTATAATCGCTACTTTTTTTTTTAATTTTAGAATTTAAAAGCATATTTGTTAAATTCCATTTATTTTAAAGTTAAACTATCCTTAACCTAGTGCGAGATTGGTAATCTTTCTGTGTTGAATTTCTTGCACTTCATTTCATGCATAATTTCATTGTTCCTTAATGTTACCTCTTACATAATTGTGCCCTAAAGGAACGAATGCAGGGTATTTAGAAGCATTTCACAATGTAACTGATTTTACTAAAACTACAAAGTAGTGCGAAAAATTTCTTGCATTTGAGTTCTAGGACGAGTCCACTGGGTGTACACGAGGTAAATTAATGCAAATCCCATGCTTATTTTGATAACTAGAACAGAGATTATAATGCTTTAAACCACTCTTCTCTGCATTTATACGAGACAGAAGGAAAATGAAAATTGGGTTAGAAAGAATGATAAAGAGATTTGAGAGTCAGGAACTAAAATTGTTAAGGCTGAGATGGAAAAAGGCTGAATTGGGATAACACTTAATCCGTCACTCCCATTCGAGCGAGAAACCACTTGCTGTGGGCAGCTTGCTTTAGCTGATGGCAAATAAAAATGTCAGTCCCGCTGCGCATTTACCATTCTTTTAACTTTTAAGATTTAAGTAATTTTGTAACAAATGAAATGACCCTGCTCGAGGAAAAGTTTTATATTTTTAATACATTGAACAAAATCGAAAAGAGAACAAACTAGTTTAAGATGCAGAGATATAAAATAATGTAACAATTTAAATTTATATATCCCCCTTTTTAAAGGTAATCAGTCTGTTTTTGCGAAAACAATTTAGTCAGATTTACTAATTCAGAAGTTAAACAACAAAAATCAGCGTTATATTTTCAATATCTTGAAAATATTGAATATATATTATATTTTCAAAATATTGAAAATATAACGCTGATTTTTGTTGTTTTGACTTCTGAATTAGTATTTATTCGGCGTGTTATTGTGTCTTAATTAGTCAGATTTATTATTATACAAGGTATTTCTCCCACCTTCTTGGCGTGCCTTCGTGGTGTGGTGGTCTGCACACTGGACCGGTATTATAGAGGTCCTCGGTTCGATTCCCGGCGAAAGTTTTATTAATTTTTCAGCTTTTCTGCTTCCAAAAAAATACCTAATGTCTCTACAGTGGCGCCCAAACTAAAAAGGTGGTGGATGATGATTTCTTCCCACCCAGGATTTGGCGATTGGGTTCCCTAAAAACCCCAGTCGCCCTTTAAAAGGGAGAGTACATAAGGTATTTCTCCATCCTTCTTGGCGCGTCTTCGTGGTGTGGTGGTCTGCACACTGGGCCGGTATTCCATAGGTCCGCGGTTCGATTTCCGGCGAAGGCCTTGTTAATTTTTCAGCTTTCCTGCTTCGAAAAAAGAAATACATAATGTCTCTGCAATTGTAACATGTCATACATATAATTTGATAAACAACTTTACCCTCAATACTAATAAATTGCACATTAAAAGGGTTGCATAAATATTTCGTCATAAAAGATATATTTTCAAGTTTGTTAAAAAAATGTTCTTATGTGACAAGTGAAGACTGATCAAGTGAAGACTGAATCAAATGAAAACTGAATGGATAATGAATACTAATGAGTACCCTATGAAGAATGAATCTAATGAGTACCCTCTGGAGATAAAGCTCCTGAAGGAGCTGACTTGTTGTCTTAAAGTTAAGAAGCAATTTATGTTTAGTACACTCGGATTATACTGTTTGCGATAGAATGTTCCTGGGGTTAGGTAGAATCGGATTTTATTCGATTGTATGGCGGGTGATTTCTGAAGCGTCTTTGTACGTCCTCACAGTGAGTTTATAGCATTTGATGAATACACAGTAAAATTGTAAAACCAACTAAGTTGATGAGAATTTGTTAAAAGAGGGCCAGAAAGAATTCAGTTCTTTTATTGAATTTTCAAGAATAGTTAAAAAATACATTTTAACTTGCATATCGGAGGCTCCCATGTAATTAATTAACAGTTCTAGGTTTCATAAGTTATGATAAAATATACAGCAGACATCTGTCTCAAAAGAGAGGCTTCTATACATGATATTGTAAAGAATAATTACGTAACAGATAAAAAGCGTACGAAGTTTATACTGAGCCGAAACATACTTTCTGCGCAAGTGGAACTTTTTACAGAATATTGATAATCCGAAATTTGTCAAAACGTATTTATCAGGGGTTTGGAAATTATTTATATAGTTGAAATTCGTCACCATTAGCTGTTAAAATCTGAAAAAAGAGTGTTAATAAAAGAGTAAGGAGAAAATTGTCGTTAAATAGAATCGCATAATTTAGTTACTAAATCCCCATCAGAAAAGAGCAGGTAAATTTTGGTTTTATATCTGCGAAAACATTCTTTGTGCAGAAACGTAGAAGTCTGGTTATCGATCTTTAAAGTAATCAAGAATATTCTGGATAAACTGCAGATAAGAGTGCTTAGAGACGCAAATATCTTAAATAAAGTTTAGCATAATATAACATAAAGTAATCCTGTATTTTGGAATCAAAATTTAAATGAATATTGATATTTAAAAATTAAACTCTCAGAAAGGAAAATTTAAATGCTCCTCCATAATTTTGGAAAGTTTGAATGAAAATAAATGCATGTAAAATAAGTCAAACAGCATAAATCATAGTATATTTTATGTATTTTGGAAGTAATGGAACCGCTATTGTACCGCTCATGGAAATAATTTACATTCTGAAGTAGCATGTTTATTACCTATATACATACCGTAGTTTTTTCTCCTTTGCGTATTTTCCCTAACAAAGTGTTGTGTATTTTCCCTTCCTAATTTCCAAAATTTTTTAAGCCCATTCGCGTAAATTTCCTTCTCATCAAGGCGTTCAGAAAGCAATCTCCTCTAAAGTATAAACGGATTCGTTGTTTTCGTCTTGCTAGTTGATGTGCTCGTAATTTTCCGTGCATGAGCTCTGATTAAGGAATAACACTAAAAACATTACGGAAACAAGGACATCTAATGATCACGATTACGAGTGACGACTTCAGATGATAAAAGTGCAGTCACAGCTGCATAAATGATTGGCAGCTGCAGGAAGTAGCAGCAGGCACTAATAAGAGTAGATCAGATTCAAGATATAGGCAATAAAATTTGAAGATATTTTATTAGATATCGTAACGTAACTGTATATTCTTATTAGAAGGTAGGCTTCTTTTAAATAATATTATAAGAGATACCGGTAGTTTATTCATGGATGATTCTCATTTGTAACATTCTTACTGCAACCACATCCTTCGGAAATTAAATTATTCGCATAATTTTCCTCCTTTGATTTTCGTATGATCAAATTAACAAAAAAAAAAAAAAAAAAAAAAAGGAAGCGAATATGCCAATAAATATGGAATTAATTTTTGCATGCCATATTAACTTGTACGCAGAGTATAACTTCTCAGTATAATCAGACATAAAATATTACGAAATACTACTTTTGACGCAAAGTAGTAGTCTGAAGATGCTAAAAGTTGCGAACCAGAAAGTCGGATGCTAAAATCATTATGCTTGATTATGCCCAAAGGTTCATGTTACTAACTAATATATTTTGATATAACACAGTGGACTGCATGCAAAGCATGAAAACCACGAAAACCAAATCCCAGGTTATTACGCCTGTTTTATATCAGTACTGATATTATACATACAGTTATTTATGTCAAAAGATAAATAGTCTGTTTGTTGTCAGAATAGTCTATTTGATAGTGCAGCTCATTTAACCAGTCTACAAAGATAATTATGAAAAATGTAAATTACCCGAAGATTAATCCTAATAAATACTGCGTTAGATTACTTTGGTAAGTAAGGAATGACACTTTTAAGATATTTAATGAAACTAGTATTGAATATTCTTTATAAACTACAAATATTTAAGCAATCGAAGGAAAGTAACATATCTGAGAAGTTACATGTATTGATATTCACATTTAAATATTTACATAAAATAAAATAATTTTTTAATCGGAAAGCAAATTTTAACTGAATAGTATTTTCCTTTGCGTTTGCTAATTAGGTTAGAAGCCAAAGAAATACCAAAAATGGCAATTCGAAACGGAACTTTGTTCTTAGCTTTAAATCTTGACGTAGTATTTTGACTAGGTACATAGTATTTTGACTTATTTTTGACAAATCATATAGTATATAAATTGCTTTGAAGTTGAATTTCTTAATCAAAAACTCATAAATGTTTAAAAATATGAAACAGATAATAAAAGAAATTCCAAAATTGGGCTTCCAGATGCCGATATTCACGCGGAGACGTTACTTATTCAAAATTTAATGGCATAAGGTACCGCTGTATGCGAGAAACATGCATACATTTATGCAGATTCTTCCTTATTTAATTTCTTTAAATATAATGCAGGGCTGTAATATTTGGTGGCAACAATTTGAAAAGTGAACCGACGCAAAATGCCAAAACGAAATTAATACCCGTTCTGGGCAAATTTTCTCCTTGGGATAATAATAATAATGAAGATAGTTTAAAATAATAATAATAATTTAATAATAATAATAATAGTTTAATAATAATAATATAATTCAGTTACTTATGGTAAAGATATGCTCCTCCTCGCAAATAAAGATATGGAGAGACATGTTGACCTTAGACGTATAACAGCCATGATGGATGCCAGCTTGGAATAATGCCTAAAAAGCGCTATCACATACTTTTTTTCAGATAATGAACCTGTAATAAAAAAAATTTCCGGATTTATCAATGAAAGAAAAATACGGAATATTTTTCTTCTTTCCACAAATAAATTGCAGATAGTTTATGTTTTCAACCCTAAAGCTGTGTGAACCAAAACTCCAAGTCTGTGGTTATAACGTTCAAATATTGCAACGGTCCTCAATGGTTGACTGTTTCTTATCATGTCGACAAAACCCGAAATATTCCAGAAAAAAAGTAGTTCTTTCCAAACGCTTTTATGTGTGATACCAGTCTGAGAAGGAGAAATGAGCACTTATCCGATCTTTTAATGCTGAAGATAGACATCAATCAGAAATTCATAGAAAGATAATGTTTTTTCTAAATAAATCATTTTATTTATGTTTTTCCTTTTAAATAGTGAATGGAAAGTAAGAAGAGACTACGTTTGATGAAGATGGCTCTGCCCTGGTGCCTATACTTACAGAAGAATCAAAAGGAACCATTGAGGTTAATTAGTTTTCTTTCAGTAAACTTGTCACTGGACTTATTATGGAAGCAATCAGGCATTGCTTTTAGTGTAAACATCAAGATAAAGAGGTAGTAATTAAGTGACAATAAAATTTGTCACAGTAAAGTTTCTTTACATAGTTCAGATAATATCAAAACCTTGACTCACATGTAGGAAAAGTGATGATGGATCTTTTTCGTTATAGAAAAACATATACTGTCTCAAACATAAACATCTCCAACGTGATATTTCCAACGAGAAAATATGGTTTCGTTATTAGGTCGTTTCATATGTGGTGAAAAGTTCTATATGTAAGAAACATAGCTTTTAGTTTTTTTTTTTTCGGATGTTTTCCAATATCGGATAACAAGCGGTAATTAAAAGTATCATTCATTATTTACCAAAACACAAAAGGGGCATATTTCTGATTTTAAGAAAAGTATTCCTATAGTCTAAAGAAGGCTTATAATGAAAGAGTGTTTTCTGGTAGGACATAGTATGTCGGAGAATAAATCCTTTCATAGAAAAGTGTTTAATGCATGTTATTCTACGACAGGAAAGATCCTTATGAATAAATACCATATAAAAATGATGAAGCGTTTCAATTTTCTACATATATTTTATTAGGAAAACGCAAGAATATTTTAGTGGCTGTTCCTAATACTTCCATAATAATTCCTTGTTTATTGCTTTGTAAATTTAGAAGTGAAAAATATCAGATGGATTTAATGATGAATGTTTTTATGTGGATCCGTTTAATTTGGTCACTTTAAAAGACTGGATTTTTAGAGGTCTTTGCTTTCGTCAACCAGATAAAAGTGACATTAATAAGTTTCTGAATTTCATCCTAAACAATTTTTAGTTTTGCTATATTTGTAGGCTTAAAAGTAATAATTAGAAGTTTTTCTTTTGTTTATTATATATAACCTTATTTCAAGAATAAAATATAAGTTAGCTTGAAGTCACTCTCTTTTATATAATTTTTAAAAGCTCATGAAGTTCCTATAGTATTTATCTTTTAAGTCACCTAAAATGCTATATATACCGTATAATTTTTAAATAAAATTATATTTAATTATTAAAGTGAAATATTTTTATCAAAAAAATGTTTCACAAATGATGACGTTTAAAATAACTAATGCTAAAAGATAAAAATCATTATTAGATCCTTTTAAAGAATTTTATCTTAAATATTTATTTTCAGGTGCAAATAAAAACACACAGCAGTTATTATGTCATCATACAGAAAGCTGCATATTCTCATTATCTCTCGCTCCTATAATGTTTTGATTAATTACTACATCAACATAATTAAGTCCTTTCAGAAATTATAGCATTATATAATGCTAAATGATGAAACTGTGCCTATAGCTTAAAGCCATTATTCACATTATCTCTGAGCCGTGAATCTGTTGAAGAAGATATATTACTCTAAGACACTAGAATGATTTGAAGGTTAATTAATTCAGTTACTATAAGACACTAGGCTGATTTGAAGAGCACTTAATTCAAATTTAAAAAACAATGTATTGCAGTATTCTTTTTTCTGTTTCAGATATTTACTATCTGATACACACATTTTGCCATTATTGCTGAAAGAGAACACGAAGTAGCATGCTTACAGTATGCATCGTGTTAGTTTACCCATAATTCGAAATTTGCTTTTTTTTTTTTCAAATTAAAATTGATTAATCGTAATTGAAATTTTATAAAAGGAGAATTATTTATTCCTATCATGTAAAAAGTGATTGTATTTGTAAAGATTCTGAGTTCTATTCGTGGGACTTTGTTGACAAAGAAACCAGCAAAAAATTATATATTTATTTACTTTTCCGTTTTAAAGAAAAATATTATCTCTTTTAATCATCAAATAGAAAATGGTTTTATCATTTAATATAAGACACAAAGGAAGTATTGCATGTACATTTATAATCTATGTATAACGATTATAATCTGATGGTGTAGAATTTTATGCTCACAGATCTTTAATGCAAAACAAGATATGCATGAAATAACGTTTCATTTTCTCTATAAGACATTACATACTTTATGATGCTCGATATATATTTTACTAATTATTATATAGATTGTAATCAAAATATCTTTATATCATCAATACAGCAGAAGATTCAAAATTTGATTAAAAAGATATATCATTTTTAAATGGTTACCTTTATTTATACGCTGCCCAGACGGTAAAGTGGTTAATGATTCTGACCGTCGTACCGAAGGGTCCGAGTTCAAAGTCCGGAGAAGGCATGGATATAAACTGTGCTGTCCCTTCATAAAAGGTAATAGTGGTCACCTATTAGGTGCCTCTGTAATAAAATTACCACCACTTCTGGCCTGAGAGGTGGTCAAATTTGTCTACATCTCGAATTTTAATAAATATAACACAGAGCTGTGATATTATTACCAAATCCAGATTCAAATTATAACTTGTGATAAAGATTACCATCTAATAATACAATTTCGAGTTCTGTTCAAAATTCCTATATAAAACACAGCTTCGAATATACAATTGTTAAAATATGATTGTAAATACCAGCAAATTTCTGTTTTCAAAATTTGTAAAATTTTAGTGTCTATAGGTTCAAGTTCAACGTAACGTAGGCGGAACTACATCTGCGCACTTGGAACTTTGGAACTTTGCGGTTATACTGGCTTTCAGCAGGAAATTAAAGTCCTTCTCTTGCCAGTTCCTGATGTGATCCCATGTGGGGCCTGACAGAGTAGAAACCTGAAAGAAATTTTCTCTCGTGGAGGTAGAAGTGTGCTATTATTGTAATTCTTCTAATACACAAAAATATGCTGGTTTATCCTGCCTACCGACTCTGCCTTCGGATTGTGGTTGGCCAGCTAGTAAATAACTTTCAATTGGCTGGAGATAATGGCTTGAAGCAAAATAGCATGTGAGCCTCTCAGTCATTGGTGGAAAAAGAAGGTCTGTCAGGCTTTCTTGGGAAAAAAGGAATCGAGAATTATAAATATACAGTGAAGAACTTTGTGATATATCACAAAGAACCCGATTGTCACTAAAAATACTTGTCATTTATGCATAAAATTTCAATTTCTTTACTGACAACAGCAATGATTTTAGCGAATGCTTACATCACTAAATTGCAACTAAGGCAAACAGATATAAAATGAACTCGAAGGCGGTGACATTAGCCAGTTTCTGGTAGAACATTAAGAATGGTGGGGCGCAAGGTAGCTACAAACAACAAGTTAAATAAACGCATACATTTCCTCATTCATACATACACTCACAATGTTTTGTTCAAACCTTTGCTAGTGTTTCGCTGTTGTCTGCAATACAACAGTAGAGCTTAGTTAGAAAAACGATGGCTTTTAAATTGTGTTTTAACTTCTAAGTAAAAGTCAGTCTTAGAGCGCAAGATACATATTCGTATTCAGAAGATGAACACTTAAAGCATCTCCTTAGCATAAGCAAACGCTTATTTCAATAATGCTTAATCCTCAAAATACGAAAAAAAAACATGATTACGGCTTTTATAATGTAATAAGATTGTTGCTGTAACTTCTAAAAAAGAATTAATCTTACAAAATAACGTAAATATTTATGTTGAAAAGGTTAAATTTAGTTGTAAAAGGCGTATTTTATCTTCTAATAGGAAAACGTGAACATTTATAGAAGAGTGTAATTGGTCAAGATATTAATGTAGCAGCATGTTTTTCTCGTCATCAGTACAAATCATCATTTAACAAGGGGAATTTTTTCTTAACGTACACTTCTTCCCTCCTGATTTTTTTCAGCAACATCGTCACAGTGCCGTATTTTTTTAAGTCTATTCTTTCGTTTTGAATGTTTGCTTTTAGCTGAGATACCTTAAACATTATTATATGTAGAGAAGCACTTGTAGAGTTCAGTATTGAATCCTGTAGTTCTCTTAGTGGCAGGATCTTCTTTCGAAAATATAAAATAATTTAAATGAAAATTTTCAGTTTTATTTTAAATTAATTATTTTTATTATATAGTTCTGTTTTCTTTTCAAGTGTTTTTATTAATCTATAGGGGCTTTGTCCCTGAAGGACTATTGCTTTTGTTTTGCGATTTTGCTTCGAATCAATCTGAATATCCGTTTCACTTTTCAAACTGTTGCGAACAAATATTATCGTCCTGTATTATATGTGAACAAATATGCATAAATGTCTGGATGTTTCTCGCATTGTGATAAAACAACGGTACGTAGAGCCATCCAATTTTGAATGACGTAATCCTACAGCGAATATGGGCATCTGGAAATACGAAAACGATAAAAAAACGGTTTCAGATTTTGTAAAACTTTAATGAACTTTTAATTAACAAACTCAAGGATTTCAAGGTGAGCCATGGCAACGTTGCACAGAAAAAACAATTTTATCTTCAGCGCGTGAGACTGTGTATCGGAACTGTGTATGGTATAAAAGTAACACACAAAATGTTTAAAAAAGCCACTTTGGACTTAATTTAAAATCTAAAATCTTTCAGATTTTTTTTCTCTTGAAATCAGA